ACGTAAACATATGTTCATAATTTTATAATTTCACATTTTGAATGTATAGTTATGAAGTTATGGATGTGTAGTTATGCATGCAATTCTGAACGTATAGTTATGAAGTTATGGATGTGTAGTTATGCATGCAATTCTGAATGTATAGTTATGAAGTTATAATTTCACATTCTGAATGTATAGTTATGAAGTTATGAATGTGTAGTTATGCAATTCTGAATGTATAGTTATGAATTATGAATGTGTAGTTGTGCAATTCTGAATGTATAGTACGTTATGAAGTTATGAATATGTAGTTATGCGATTCTGAATGTATAGTCAGGCCCGGCCCTGGGCAAGTGCAGGCTGGGCCCTTGCCCAAGGCCCATCTCTACCTAGGCGTAGGGGTGTTCATTCGGTTAACCGTTCGGTTAACCGAACCGAATTAATCGAACTTTTTTTTTTGCTTTAACCGTTAACCGAACCGAAATTTACTCTACCGAATTGACCGAACCGAACTTTTTTTCGGTTAATCGGTCGGTTAACCGATTAACCGAAATTTTTAACCCTAAAATTTAAACTTCATAAAATAATTCCTAAAATAATAATTCCAATTAAAATAAAATACATATCATAATAAATTCAGATTATTATTTATTCTATTTGACATTTTGACTATTTATGATTTTAGTAATTATATATTTAATATTTAATATATTATATATTATATATATATTCCAAAATTCGGTTAACCGTTCGGTTAATTCGGTTAACCGACACTTTCGAACCGAATTAACCGTTAACCGAATTTTAGGAAAACCTTTAACCATTAACCGAACCGAAATATTTCGGTTCGAAAACGGTTAACCGAATTTCGTCGGTTCGGTCGGTTAACCGAAATTTCTCCTAAATTTGCACACCCCTACCTAGGCGCCCATAGTCCATATATATATATATATATATATATATATATATATATATATATATATATATATATATATATATATATATATATATATATATATATATATATATATATATATATATATATATATATATATATATATATATATATATATATATTCTTTTATTGTTTTGGTCCGCGTCTTGCGACTCTGAGAGAAAGCCGGAAGGAGTCGAGGAAGACGAGGATACTCTCTCGCACCCACCGCCCACGTCACCGGTTGCTAGGCCTTCTCAAATCTGAACAGAAAAATGGAATCATCAATAAAAGCTCAAAATTCAGAAGCAAACTGCAATCTACAAATTCAGCATCGACGACAATCAACAAATCCGCCTTCAATTAGCATTTACGACCAGGCCTTCCACCTTCGCCTAATCACTACTCACTTTTACGACCTAATCCCTAATTGCAAAGGTATTTTGTAATTTCAACTAATTCTAAATTTCTCCTTTGCTAGTATTCTATTAAAAATGCAAATATGCAATTCTGGGTATTCTGATTGAATTATGATGTGTGATTTGTGAATTATTATGATTTATGATTTGTGATTTGTAATTACAGTTCAGGAATTAAGATTTGTGAATTGTTTATTGTAATTAGGAATTAGGATTTGTGAACCGCAAACTGTTGTACTGCTTAAGTGCTTACTGCTTAGTATCATACAACTGTTATATTTATAATGATATATGCAATATTTGTGGACTCTGACTGCATATCTGATAAAGTAATTGGATAATTGATATATTAATTATTTTGTGCTAAAAAATATCTATGATATAATTGATATTATGACAGCCCTACACACCGCTGATGCGCTCAGTCGGTGGACTGTGATCCTCTTTTGGGGACTGCGATCCTACACACCGCTTGACGAACTCAGTCGGTGGGTCGTAGTAGATCAAGCCCTACACACCGCCTGAGGGACTCATTTGGTGGGCGATGATCTTCGGAGACTACGACCCTACACACCGCTGGACCATACACTCGGTGGATCGCAGCCGACCATAGCCCTACACACCGCCTGATCACTCATTCGGTGGGCTATGGCCTTCCTCGGGCTAGTGGCCCTACACACCGCCTGGCGCGTCCAGTCGTGGACCATAGCACACGAGGCCCATGTGGACCGCAGCCCAAGAAGTGAATCACTGACCGCAGCCAGGAAAATGAACCGCAGCTCATAAGTAACCAATTTGACCGCAGCCAACTTCTGAACTGCAGCTCAGGAACACCCAATTTGATCGCAACCAAATTGGGGTATCATACATCACATAACACATAGTAGCACGTATTAGCACATTGGGAAGGGGAGACGTATAAATAAACTTACGTGTGATCATTCACATACTAAGAATAGTCCCAAGGGTTTCATGCATCTTCCACCTAGGCCAACGGGTTACCGATTCAACTAGCATGCAATTCCTAAGAGTCTTCTATCTCACGAATGGCACCCGAAACATCAAACTAGACTCATGCACGACAAACGGGGACCGTTGGGACACCACGGGGATTGGGGAACATCAAACGGGGAAGCCAAAGTCCCGAAGTGGGCGACGACCAGCGGGTAGCCGATGGGTGGAGGGCCACCCGCCGGCTGCCCGCTGGTGACAGACTTTCCGGGCAGCGGGTGCCCGGCGGGCAGTCGCCTGCCCGCTGTTGGCGGCGTCACTTTGGGCAGCGGGTAGGTGGCGGGTCCCCCTGCCCCCACCTACCCCCACTGACTCTTTATCAAAATAAACATCCCGGGATCCTTTGTGGAACCCGAAACCATGCTTAGACACTTTTTAAACGCAAAAAACGACATCACGTAGGCAATTAACGGATCAAAAGCAACAATCACATAAAACACGACCTATCATGACTTCTAAACATAATCAACACCCGAACATGTGAATTCCCACCCAAATATACCAAGAAAATCCCAATACGAATTTCATGATTCAACCTAGGGCTCTAATCATATTTAAATTAACAAGATCATATTTTATCTTTTAAATCAAGAAACATCAAGACTTATCAAGAATATCACACAATCATCAAGATCCTCTTATCCTCATCAAGATTATCAAGATCACACATAAAATCATCTCATCAATCATCAAGATCACATCACAATTATCATATCAAGACACAAGCATATAGAGGAAGCCAAAGAAGGGGGGCAAATTATGCCCTGGACCCGTGTCCACAATGCATTATGGACACGAGTCCAAAACGACGTCGTTTTTAAGAAAAACGCGTCATTCCAGTTTAAAAAAAAAATTGATTTTGTCTCGCCGTTAACGGCGTTATTCGTTTGTGCCATTATGAATGTACAGTTATGACATTATGAATGTACAGTTATGACATTATGAATGTACAGTTATGACATTATGAATGTAAGTTATAAAATTATAAATACAGAATTCTGACATTATTAACTTACAATTATGAACATATAGTGATAAAATTATGAACATAGAGCTCTAAAATTGTGAACATGGAGCTTCGAAAATTATGATTTTACAGTTATTGAATTATGAATGTACAGTTACGGAATAATGAATGTACAGTTACGCAATTATGAATGTACATTTATGCAATTATGAATATACAGTTATGGAATTATGAACACAAAGCTCTGACATTATGAACATATAGTGATAAAATTATGAACATAGAGCTCTAAAATTGTGAACATAGAGTTTCGAAAATTATGAAGTTACAGTTATTGAATTATGAATGTACAGTTACGGAATTATGAATGTACAGTTATGGAAGTATGAATGTACAGTTATTGAATTATGAATATAGAGCTCTGACATTATGAACTTACAATTATGAACATATAGTAATAAAATTATGAACATATACTCTTATAACGAATCTGAAATTTAAAAAAAAAAAAAGAAAAAAAAAAAGAAAAAAGAAGATAAGAGTGCCTAACGGCACTGTTACCCATGTCCAGCATGCATGCTGGACACGGGTCCAGAGCATAACGATTGAAGAAGGGGATTATAGCAAGGAAAATAGGTTTTGTTGAGACATGGGTTATCTTTTAGCCTTAATTAAATTCTTGGCTATGAAGGATCTTTCTTTAAGATTTCTTCTTTCTTGATTTCTCCTATGGGAATTCTTGGAGATTCTTGTGTGGTGAAAGTTATTGTGGTGTGGGTTCTAGGTGCCTCCTATGCCCCTATTTATATATCTAAAAGTCCTAATTAGGGTCTAAATGGTATGGACTTGCCAATTCTATTCCTTATAGGACTAAGGGGTTGGTTTTAGGGATAAGGGTCCATGGGCTATGGTGGACCCTTCTTAGCTAATTAATTGATTTTAATTCTCTTTTTAGGGTAAGTAATTAATTAATTAGTTTGGTTTAGGGGTCGTAACACGGGGTGTTACAACTTTAGCCTACAACCCCACATTGTTTCATGTTCAAATAATGTCCTACCTTAGAGGCTATTAGGATATTATAAGAAATCAGTCCACCGGGTATAAAAGCACTATGCGAATCAGATATAATATTATCCATCAATGGCTTCATTCTGTGCGTAATCATTTTAGCCATAACCCTATAAATCACATTGCTCAGGGCTATATGTCTAAGATCAGAGACCAACTCTGGGGTATTCTTCTTCGGGATCAACACCACATCAGTATCATTCAGACCAGAGGGGAAGGAGCGCGAATTTACGCAATCCACAATAAAATTTGAAATATCCCCACCAACAATATCCCAAAAATGCTGGTAGAAACCCGGATGCATACCATCTGGGCCAGGTGCTTTATCAGGAAACATTGTAAAGAGGGCATCTTTGACGCCATCTATTTCAAAGAGTCGTAAAAGTGATTCATTCTGTGCCTAGGTTACTCGTAGGATAACATTATCAAATAAAGGCTCACCATTCATAGGATTACTCGAGCAGAAGATTTCCTTAAAATAATCCAGAATAACATCCTTCATATCCTCCCCTTCCACCCACTCCCCATAGTCATTCATAAATCTAGACAAAATATTCTTACTTTTTCGGTGAGAGGCATACTTGTGATAGAACTTTGTGTTTGCATCAGAACCTTTGAGCTAGTGTTGCTTGGCTCTTTGTCTCCAGTACACATCCTCCTGGGTCTCCATACGGCACAGGGCTTCCTCCAAAAGTTGGAATTCCACTAGGGAGGCTGAATCAGTGCACCCTCTCAGATGCTGCTGTTCCCTACGGAATTGCGTGATTTTTTCACCAAACTTGTGATAGCGGTCACCTCCCCATTGGGCCAGATGATTCCCACAGTGTTCAATATCATTTTTTGTGCCTTCATTCCTCCCTTCACCCCATGACTTAGCCACCACAGTCCTGCACCCTTCATCATATAGCCATGTCATTTCAAAACGAAAACTTTTCCTTCCCCCACCTCCCATTGGTCCATAATCGCGGATTGCCAGGAAGATGGCAGAATGATCAGATGTTCTTGTTAGTAAATTGGAAACCATAGTTCCAGTAACAATACCGCACCCGTCATTAGTAGCAAGCATCTTATCAACAATTAAACTTAAATGGGAGGGCAAAATCGACATTTCATGTTTACTCCAATTTGGGAAAGCAATCGTCGTCTTCCTTCACCCAAGAAATCGTGGTCTTCCTTCACACACACACTGCACTTAGCCAAATTCCAGCACAGATATAATTGATCACCATTCCAATTAAAGAACACAAAATCATCTTATTAACCTCCATAGCTGCAATTAAGGAACAACACTGTAATCCATTCATCATAATTACAAACATTAACCATCTCTAATCAGTGCTCAAGCGTTTCAATCAAATTCAGACTCACAAAATCAAACCAAGAACACAAAAGCTAAACATATTATAGTAATGAAGAATGGAAATGGTACCTTAGACTACTTGCAGAGGCACTGCTTGTAAAGATTTGAAGGGCAGATAAATAAGGCACAAAATACTGAACTATGGTTTTCCCTGTGTCCAATCTGATTGGAACTCCAGCGCCATAAACACTCAATTCATCATAACAACTCCAAAGATCACCCAATGCATGTAAAGTTTAATTGTTGGTGTGTGTTCCTTGATTATCATCGTCTTTTTCCGGCGACGGAACCAGAACAACCAGCGGGAGGTGTGTGACTTTGGTCAAGGATAGCTTTCCCAAATTGGAGTGAACATGAAATGTCGATTTTTCCTGCACCCCCCATTTAAGTTTAATTCTTGACTTAAAATTTTCCGGTCATATTTGGTCGGTGTGATCAAAATCGATAAAAATTTTATAGTCAAGGCACTAAATTAACATTTTTGATAATCAATGTTGCAATTAACACAAGTGCAATAGTCAGTAGACTAAAATTGAAATTTAGTCTATGTTATTAGTGTATTTAGTATGGCAAATAAAACCCCTTATTTATTTTTATATAAGTCTCATTTTTAAAAGGCTATACAATCAACAAGTCAAGAACAATTTTAGAGAAGAAACTTTGGAGAAAATACCGTGAAATTAATTGGAGCATGGTGTGTGTACATGAGTTGTAGTTGTAAGAACTTAATTTGAAGCAGCCGATTGGAGCAACAGGTGAGATTGGAACTATCAAGATTACGGAAGAAGCTAGGGTTGAACGTGTAAAGGAACAACCAAGATTGAGAAATTAAAGCAACTAAGGATGGATAAAAAATTATAAAGAGAAAGAGGCGAGATTGAAGCAAATTAAGAAGCAGTTGAAGTTGCAATAAATAAATTAATAAAAGGCATTAGAGATTGCACAATTAAATGTGCAGCTAAAGTTGCATGCATAAAATAAGGAAGCAAAGGAAGTTTTACCGTGTTCTTATAAGCAGATTAAATTGGAAAGAGCTAAGTTTAATTAAGAACCAACTTATTATGGAAAGAGCTAAGGTTGTCAATTGTTTAATTCACTACTGGAAATTATGGAATTTCCGACCACCTGAAAGTGATCTTAAATCAAGTCAAAAGCCTTGTTCCGACCACTTTTGGTATCCGAAAAACCTTTGTTGCTATTTTCGACCATTTTTTGGAATTTTTGGTATCAACTTAATTTAATATCATTTTCAGGTGGTCGGAAATTCCATAATTTCCAATAATGATTTATGGAAGGAGCTAAGGTTTGAGAGCTAATTTATAATGGAAAGAGCTAAGGATTGGTTCTACATACAACTCAAATATACATCAGCTAAAATGGAGAGCTAAGGATGTATAAAATAATTAAGGAGATGAAGTTCACAACATGAGTTTTCAAATAAAACACTCCTAATTGGGCCAATCTGAAAAAAATTTATTTGACCAGCACTTTGCCCCTTAATTAGGCCGGCCCAATGCGAATGGGGATTAGTCTGTGTATGGCTCGGGCTTAAAGGTGTCTCCTACAGTTAAAGCCTGCTCAGAACACCTCATGGTTTGACCAAAATAAAATAAAATAAAACACTCCTACTAAAAATTAATTTTTAAACAAAATCAGAGGGAGAAAAAGTCTATAAAGTTTTTGTAAAGACTAATCAAAAGATGGAAAAACTACAGGATCTGCTGACAAAGTTTAAAATTTGAGATTGTCTTTTTTTTTCAACGGACAAATTTTCAAACAACTATATGAGGATGAAGATTTGAAGAAGCCAAATGACAACAAGTGCGATACACTCTAGATCAAGCAAGTGAAATTCAAAGAGCATACAAAGATCTTCATCTTGAAAAGAGACTTAGCTACCCATTATAGATATTCATTCAAAAGTCTCTAAATTGGAAGAAAGAAAAATCTTGTTTTTAAACAAGTGGTTTCTCTACCGATGGTAGATATAGGATAGTACATAGAGTTGTGAAATCTTAGTTTCAGTGTTGATGCATTGGAGCTGTGTGATTAGTGCTAGTTTTGTGATCAAGAAACTTAGATCATTAATTCATTGTATCTTGTACCGGAGTGGTGGATATAGTGAATTCGTCCTGGAAATAGGAATAGAGTGAAAGACTAAAAGTAGAAGTATTATTACATACACCTTCGAACCACTATATTGATATGTTCTTTATTGTTTTACTTTTATTTATTTTTACATGCACTATTACATGTGAATTATACACGACACAACCACTACACAAGTTTTTAAATTTCGATGTGCACAAGACACTGATAATATAATTTTATCAACTATTCTAAATTCATTATATATATATATATATATATATATATAAAAGAGTCAATAAAGTTATGTTTCTAATGGGAACTAAAAAATGTTCGTGTAATTATTAGTTTTAGGCTAAGCCTCAACTATCTAATCCTGCGGTTGAGAGCGCCTCTCGCATCACGAGCAAGAAGAGCTGTCAAACCTTCTATTGCATCTGGAAAAACCCAAGTGCCCCAATCTTTAGTTTGAGCTAGATTGGCAAGAAAATCCCTGCAGCAGTTCCCTTCCCTGAAGATGTGTTTGAAGGCAATCCCCTCAAAATCTCGACACCATACCGAGGCAGTCCTCCAAAAGAGGAGTTATCAGAATCTGTTTCACCATGCATGAGTGTAATTATTAGTTGAAATGAATGGTTCATATTATTTTGATTTTATTATTATTATTATTATTATTATTATTATTATTATTATTATTATTATTATTATTATTATTATTATTATTATTATTATTATTATTATTATTATTATTATTATTATTCCTACTTTACCCTCTATTATATCATTTACTTTTTCCTAAATACTCTGCATTCTTTCAGTGTAAACTTTAGTAACGGAATATTCCGTTAACTATATTTTTATTCTTAACTTACTTATTGATTTTAATAGGAAAGGTCTTAGGTTCGAACTCCATCCCAATCAATATTAACATTTTGCATATTTCTCGATCACTATTGTCACTATTTTTTTTTTCTAAGGCAGGAGTATTAGGTCTTTTTAAAACGATTAACAATCGTTATACCCTGCACCACGACGCACACAACATTGTGCGTCCTGCGCCTTCCAAAATGACGTCGTTTTGTTAAGTTGTGTAGGAAGTTGATGTGATTATGTACATTATGGTATACAATTATGTACATTTGTTTATATAATTATGTACATTTTTTTATACAATTATGTACATTTTTTTATACAATTATGTACATCCGAAACAACGAATTTATGTGTATTATGTTAAGAGTTTATCTATATTATGTTAAAAGTTTATGTGTATTATGTATTATGTTATATTATGTGTATTATCTTTTCAAAAAAAATATGTGTATTTTCTTATTCAATTCTGTGCATTTTAGTATACAATTGTGTGTATTTTAGTATACAATTATGTGCATTTTTGAAATATGAGATTTTTTTTAAAGAAAATTAGCAATCGACACAGGAAAGCGGAATTAAAAATAAAAAAATAAAATTCCAAAACGACGTTGTTTTGCACCAGGATGCACAATGCAATGCGCGCCCGGTGCACGATATAAGTAGGCAAAAATTAATAGCCTACATATTAAATAGGCTTTTAAACAGACTTCATATCATGTAAGGCCAATTGTAGGCTCAGGCTTGAGAAGCCTACATACAAGCCCAGACTCAAGCCTTACAATCGTTATGTTGTGCATCAGTATGCACCGTGCATGGTGCATACTGATGCAAAAACGACGTCGTTTTGACGTCTAACTTAAAAAAAAATAAATCAGAATTGCCTAATTACACATCCATAATTTCATAACTATACATCCAGAATTACATAACTACACATCCATAATTTCATAACTATAAATCTAGAATTGCATAACTACACATCCATAACTTCATAACTATACATCCAGAATTGCATAACTATACATCCAGAATTGCATAACTATACATCCATAACTTCATAACTATAAAATCCAGAATTGCATAACTACACCATGCATAATTACACATCCATAATTTCATAACTATAAATCCAGAATTGCATACCTACACATCCATAATTTCATAACTAAATCAGAATGAACGAACTAATAAATGAACAACATAATGTTATTGTTGGGAATCGAAATTGATTTTTTTTAAGTAGGACACGCGTTTTGATGCAAAACGACGTCGTTTTTGCATCCATATGCACCATGCATGATGCATACGGGAAGCCTTAGATTTCTATAGTAGGTCTAGACCTAATTTTCTAGAGCTCAACTCGGCTTGACCTATTTTTATCTCTACATTTAGGTATATCAGTATATGATAGAAATGGCATGGGCTACTTTGTGACAACCCAAAATTTTAATTTTCTAAATCCAATTTTAAGAAATTTCAAAATAACCATTTTCACTCCATTAATTTTTTTTTGCGATCGAATGGTGTTTGAATAAATTATTTTAAACACATTTTAAATCAATTCAACACCAAAGTTTATTTTTAATCCAAAATCCTAAATTTTTGTGTAACTCGCGTACCAAGTTTTAAACTGAGAAACCAATCTGAGTGAGACCGGGAGTATTCTAAGAAGCTTTAAACAAGTGTTCATCTAGAAAACTCTTTGAGAAAATTCCTTTTCAACCCCAAAGTATTTTAAATAGCAATTCTAGCCTTGGGTCCATGATGCTAGGTGAACCACAACCTCC